ACTGCTTCGAACTATAAAACGCCTATCAAAATATCCTATTTTTGCCACATAATGAAAAGGTGAAAGGTATGAACTTTTGCAGCTAATTATTCAGGAGAAAATTTAAGAGGAGACATAGTGTCGGTAGAAAACAAATGTCTTGGCTTAGAAACATCCTCAATTGGACGGGAATTGGAACAGTTGGTGATTTGGTGTATGCCGCATCAGATAGGGAGCAGTTTGCGAACATAATTAGGAACATCACATATAAATATATCTTTTATACATTCCAACATGTAATATATTCAAATTGTATATTATATTTTGTAACATTATTTTAACACGCTAACATATTCGAAGACTCACGAAGTCTATTAATTATTCAATCTCATAATATTTCAATTTTCTTATTATAAATATTTTTCATTTGAATTCGTTAATAATTTCTGAAATTAGAAAAAATTTTTTAATCTCTATATACCTAAATAAAAAATTTTCAAACTCTACTCCCGAAATTCATATACGTATATACCTTGAATTGATTTATTTATATTATACAATGTAAAATCAGACTATTTGTCCCTATTACCCCTCCTTCTACACTCCTCAACAAATAACTAAAGTAACGTTTCCCTTTTGTGCAGCATCTAAAATTTTATCCGGACTATTACTACCGTCAACCTCATAATTAACCTTGTTCCTTCAACAAACGAATATTATAAAATATTCCTAAAATCTCTTCGAAAGGATCTTCATATTTTAAATGGATTACCCTTGTATATATAAAAAAAATTCGAATATGAAAATGTTTTTGGTGTAATTGCATAATTTTCTTTTGAAATTTTAAACTTTTGTTTTAAAAGAATTTTCTTGTTCTTTTCTTTTATAACATGATATTGAAGTTAGGTATAACCTAAAAATGTTATATAAAATGTTAAGCATAGCATAAATTCTTCCGCAACAATATCATCAAATCCCAACAAACCAAAACTAAAAAAAAAATGCTAAGATGAAAAGAATTTTGTTTTATTATTTTTTTTTCTACTATACATAAAATTTGCATAGTGTTACAAATTTTTTTTTCCAGGTTTTAACATTCATTTCCGTAATAAAAAACCCAACCTAAGAGCATAAAAACAAGAAAAGACCTTATGCTTTATAAAAAAAACGAAAAGTAAAAACATTTTCATAAATTTTTATTGCTTATGTTAAAAAATTACATAATAGTTACATCATAACCCTTTTTTTTCTACCTTAATTTTACAACATTACCAAAAAAAAAAAGAAAATTACTACATACTGCAAAATGGCTTTTCCCTATATATGTAAAAAATTACTTCAATTTTACAAAATAATAAAAGAAAAAATTTTATATTTTACATTGAATAAAATACTAGCTACACTAGTAAAGTATAAAAAATATTTACATGCATATGCTTACAATAATAATAAAGAGCCCATCGCAGCAGTGTTCAAGTATATTTGACCTACTTTTTCATCCATCTACATTATATATTTACTTTGAACTTTACATGTAAAACTTATACACAAACAAAATACGAAAAAAGTAAATTATTATAGAAGAAAAATAAAAGAATCAAAAAAAAAAAATAAATTGAAAATTACCAACACCATGGAATATTGGTTCACGTGCCACTTTTTCCTCTGTATACAATCACACGAATCGCATAAAATAGAATTTCATTTATTTCTTATATAAGTATATACATAAAAAAAAATTTTTTTATTTTTATTTTTGTTTTCTGTTTAAAAGAGAAAAAGAAGAGATAAAAATTACTAAAAAATTATGGTAGTAGGTTACTGCATATTACAAAGAAAAAAAATATGGATTAAAATTCTTATATACATTCCAATGTACATATATTGAAGTATATACATAATGTATATAGGGACTTGTGTATATAAATCTATAAAATTCTGGATTTATCCATATTTTTGCAAATTACAACGGTAAAACCGACTATTTATATAATAGTATATAAAATACCCTAGTACAATAATAGCATGGATCAAGAAATGTTAATGAAATAAATATTGGCATTAAATAAAGTATAGTGCTCAACCCAACAATAATATTGGTTCAACTAAAATATTAGTAAAATATGTAAACACACTTTATTATTACACATTTATTTAATTTGCACATTCAAGTTAGTCCATTAAAATTGTAAACATTATCAAATCCATTTCTTGAAATTTTCCATAACCATAAACAATATTATATTATTATATAAAGTTAAAAAAGATGGCCAACTCTTGTTCAACAAAGTCAGCTCTTAAAAATCTGTATTATTCAAATTTTGATCAAAAATTGACGTTTGGAAAACAAATCGAAACGAAATGGTTCGTGTCTAAAATAAGAAATTGTACTCGATTTGGAATTGTAATGATTTGTAAATCAGTACATTTTACATTATTCATATGCATGCTTTATATAATAGTCTAAATAATGAAAACAATCAAAATAATTTTCCCATTACAATATGATTTTGCATATATTTAGGGGATAACTTTTAAAATAATAAATTTCAAAATATTATTAACTTATGAAGTATAGACTAAATTGCTAATAAAGGTACAATTTTTGGTTTCGTAAAATGTCAATGGACTCGACCTTCTCCGTTCAAAATTCAACCCTTATTTGATTATTAAAATTTTCTTATGCTTATTTTAATCTCGAAATCAAATTAGGAACGCATAAATTTTAATAAAACGCAAATCAAACCGCCCATCTTTTTGTTATTTAAAAAAACAACATTACAACTAATACACACAAAAATTATGACACGTTTGCTTGTCAAAATGACGTAAATCCAATTGATTCTAATCAACGTAATTAAATATGGCGTAAATAAATTTTTTTAATAAAGTATATATTATATTTAAAATTAATATATTAAACAAATATTTTCCCTAAATAAACTAAAAATTAAAAATAATTTAAAAATAAAACAAAATTTTAATTCATAAAATTTTTACATATGAACTTATGTATAGGGGTATTTAAAATTAAAACATATAAAAAATTCTTAGTATATTAAGAATATTTCAATTAATAGCTATAAGTTTGCGCATAAGTTTTCATATACATACATGAACATGCTGTATATATGATTCTTAACAATATTATGTATTAGTATATATCTACACATATATATATATATATATATCACACATGTATGAATGTACAAACAAGAGTAAATTTATAATTTTATCTAAAAATATTACATTGTATACTCTTACTTATTCTTTCATTCTTTATACATTAATATTATTAGATTTGGCACGTGCCGAAAATATTTTTTTCTTTTTTTGTATTTTTTTGAAAAATAAAAAAATTCAAATAGAAAATTTTCATTTACATATATACATTTATAGATATATATGTATATATGTAGATATTAATATAAAATATATAAACATGAAAATATTAAAAAAAAGATGGTGGTGGGTGAAAATGAAAATATTTATTTACAAGACAATCTTATAATGTCTTCTAGCACCTGTCGCTAATATTAATTCGAAATTTGGTTACATACATGTATATGTATAGGTACATACATGTGTTTACATATTCGCATTTAATTTCTTGATAGATAAAAATTAATTTTTTTTTTTGTTTTCCCCAATTGTTTTATAAAACATATAATAATTTTATTTTTAGATTAAAAGTACAAGTACCGTTGAATTATTTTGACATTTACAAAAAAGAAAATTTTTTACATCAAAGAAAATTGTTGTTAACAATGCAACTCTTAAAATATGTAATTATAGTATGTGGTTGTTATTAAAATAGAATTTTTTATTTTAAAAGAAAAATGTTTATAAATAAAATTTTCATTTTATGTAGTAGGTATTAATATTTTTGCTTCTGTAGATCAAAAAAACTCTAAACAAGGTACTATTACAGCATTTGTTACAGGTTTTTTTAATATCTAGATATTTGAAATTATTGATAATTGGAACAACTAATAATTAGTAATAATTTGAATAATTCCTAACTAATAATTGGAACATTGGGCTTTGAGGTGCTTATTGCTTCGCTATTAAATAAACTAAATACAGAGTTTGTTCAAAACCAAATTCCGATTTCGGATTAGTAAGTGATTTTTCGAAAATTTTTTAAATATCTTTCACACGTCTTAAAGAATTACTTTGAAATTAATTGATAAACTATAAATTTTAATTTAGTATAAAATCAAAAATAATCAAACTTAATTTATTTAGGTTTTCCTTCTAACCACAGAAATACAAATAATATTTTGACAAATAATCATACATTTAAAATAAATAATGATAAAGCAATAAATAATTAAATTAAAAAATGTTAAAATTCTTATTATTTTTCATTTATAATTATTTGTATAACAATTTGAAATTAAATTTAAATAAAATTCAATAAAAATATTACAAAGAAAATAAATTTCTATTCAACAATAATATTATTATTCAAAATCACTTAATAATTTTGAACAAAAATATCATCATATATTTTAATTTATTATATGCATGCGTACATACATATCTTGTACATGACATACATATATAAAATAGAGAAATAAAAGGTTAAATGTTAAATTATCTAAAACAAATTAATTAAAATAAATAATTTTGAACATTTATAAAACAAATTAACAAAACGAAATTTAAAGGATGAAAGCACCCACATTTTCCCATTTAATTATTTAATTTCTGTTTCCGAAATTTATTCGACATAAGGTATTGAAATTTACAAAATTTATAATTAAATTTCATATAATTCAATTCCAAATAAAATTTTTAATTAAAATTAACATTTAAATTGCAATAAAAAGAATTTTATGTTTAAGAATTTTTTTAAATTAGAAATTGAAAACCCAATACAACATTTCTGGAGCTAGGATTACTTATTTAATTTCATTAAATAAAATTCATTAATTATACAAATATTTCAATTTTATGTGCACAAATATAATTATCAAATATAACAAAAATTCTTACTTAAAACTTTAAAAACTTACATGAATTTGTTAAAAAAATACAATAACACAAACAAAACTCATTTAATTATTCATATTTACACCAAGTCTCCGAGATACGGCATGCATTATTTAATACAATTGAAATTGGAAAAATTTTAACAATTTTTTTTTTTAATCACAACACTTAAAATAGTCACACATCCTTTATTATCGCAGCAGAAGAAACCACAATGCGTTATGACAGTAAATTGAAATAAATTCATTCTTATATTATGAAAGTAATAAAAGCTATACACACTTGTAAGTAAATGCAAAAATTAATATTTATATATAAAAAAAAATGTGCATGTATTCTTAAGTATATATATAAAAATATGTATGTGAAATGTGGTATTAGTATATAATATGCAATATGCATATGCGCTACAATAAAGTTTTTTTTTTGTATTTTGCAATTTTCCATTACTGCATCATATGTTTTTTTTTTTTCAAATTTACTGCATTCAAATTAACTTTGAAGCTTTTTCTGAATCAAAAATAAAACTGCAATTTTTTTTTTATTCTCTTTTTGTATATTATTTTTTATTCTTCTGAATTTATGAAAATATACTTACGTACATTCATAATTATTTACGTATTTTACATAAACTATAAGTATATAATACTCTTCGTATATAAAAGTTAATTGTAGTCGATTTCATTTCAAGGTCAAGTTTAAAGTTCAAGAATATTGCATTTTCATTTTTACTCATTTACTTTTTGCATATTGCACAAAAAATATTATTGCATTTCATGCATTAACAATATATATAGTGTAAGAGTGTGTGTGTGTGTTTATATTTGTATAAATTACATAACTATACTGTTATTTACATTTTGTATATTTTGCAAGAAATATTCTTTATTAAAGGATAACATTTTTTTATTCATCGTATGTATACGATAGATTATTTTTAGTTGCATATGCTCGTATAACCCGAATATATTTTTAAAGTAATTGAAGTTTACGTAGTAGTTATTTAGTTCCTACAGGGTTATTTATATTCTTTTGTGTATATAGGATAAATACACTACATATAAGTCAGATTACACACATATATGTACTTACATGAGTATTTTTAGATGAATTTAAATGAATAAAGTAGTAGAGGAGGAGAAAATAAAAATTGCAATTTATTTTTTGAAATTGAGTTTTCTATAATACAGGATTAAATAAGATAATTTAAATTTTATTTTTAACACATGTAGTATAACATTCTAGTATATTTTTGATTAAAAAGAATCACATGTTATTGGATTTTCTGAGAAATTTTAATTTTAATTTTTTTTTTTCTTATTAAAAATAAATAAAAAATTTTACTATGTAATTTTCTATGAAAATTGTATGCCAAGATCATTTTATAGAATATGAGAGTTTGAAATTTGTGGTACTTAAGCGAGTATTTGTTAAATACAAGTTTAAAACATGACTCCTTTATTTACAATGTGCTGCATTTTTTAAATAATGCTTGAATGGTTTATTTTGAAAGTGACCCGACTCCATTTCAAATAAAAATGAAATATTGCATCGTTTGAGTTCCAAGTAACATGATTGCGTACTTCAAATAAAATATTTATTGCATAATTCTGTTGAAATCGTACCCACTTTACATATATAGCTCTCAATTAAAAATAAAATTTCATTAATTTAAAAATATTTAGGGTTTATCTTTCCTATATTTTTTTTTTCCTTGTTATTCACCTTGGGAACATAGGATTTCAACATAGGCTCTCCAATTCTCTCTGTTTTATGCCAGACTCTTTATTTCTGCCCACATTCTGCCTGATTGTTCTAGCTCTTTCTTCACACTTCTTCTCCAGGTTCCCCATATTTCTTCTTCCTTGGGGACTCCACTCAAGAGCCTGACGCGCAATCGATGTTATTGGGCACCTTAGAATGTGGCCAATCCACTTCTTTTTCCTTCTTCTTATTTGTATGTCTATTGGTTCTTGTTTCGTCATTACCCACAGCTCATTTGTTTACAAAGACCTCTATCTTCTGTATATTAGCTTGGACATCAACCATGTCTCACTTCTGTAAAGCATCACTAATTTAACGCACGCGTTGAATATTCTTTTCTTGGTTCCGCGTGCTATTTGAGTTGACTTCCAGGTTGCCCATAACCTGCCGAATGCGCATCTTGCTTTAGTAATTCTATGCTCTATGTCCTTATTTGTTCCCCCATCCGTTGTTTTTGTGCTGCCCAGGTACTCAAACTCGAATACCTCTTCAATTGGGGTACCCCATATATAGATAAGGGCTTGACTCGTGCCATTAATTCTCATGAGCTTGGTTTTTGTTGTGTTTATTTTGAGACCGGTTTCCTATATACATAGATTTCATTAAAATTTATATTTTCTTTAAATTTTTGACGAAAACTTCATTCGGGTTAGAAAAATTTCGAAAAAAATTATTGAAAATTAAATAAAGGCGCATGTACACGTCATATGCATTATTGTGTGTATAATAAGTACATATGTGTACATATTTGTATAACAAACCGAGTTATTTTTAGTAACTGGTTTTATTTGAATGAATAAAATTATCTATAAATATTTGATTTCTAATGTTGACTCTTCGTATTGATTTTGTAAATATTGACAAATAAAATAAATTTTTTTTTTGTTTTAAATGTTTGTAGAATGTGTTTATTCTATTGTTTATTTTAAAATAATTTGTTAGACACTACAAACATTTTAAAATTAAAGTATTTTTTTGTCAACACGGGTTTTTTTTATTGAAAAAGAGCAAAGTAATTGTTTATTCTTATTACTTATACTTTATTCATATGTCTGTAGGTGTTATAAGTGCTTGCTATTTAATTTTAAATGTAATTATGAAGAGACTACTTCAATTTTTTTCCACAACTTTCAATATTTCTATGTTGACGCCTTTAGCAGTAAAAATTTCGTATCAACTGTGCAAGTTCTTTCCTACAAATTTTGTATTTGTTTGCTAATAATCTAATATCGTAATATTCGCTGACTTATAATATTATCGTAAGTATTCGCTGACTTAAAAACTGTTTTTCGAAAAATTAGTCAGTATTGCCGTGTTATTATAAAAGCAATTAATGTCATTGTGTTAGACAACATTTTTTAATAGTTGACAGCTTTTTGACATATGAAGCTCGTAAAATTTTGTTTCTTCTAACTTCAAAATCTCAAAAACTACGAAACATTTATTTAATCAATAATATCGATTAAATAAATGTCTGACTTATTTTGAACTAAACGTAAAAATTAAATTTATTTTTAGAAATTCTAAAATTAAAAGCACTTAATTTTAATTTATTTAAATAGAAATTATTTTTAGTAAAAAAGGCTTTCAATGATAAACCATGAATATATAAAAAATGTTTTATAAATTGCCGTAAATTATTGAATAGACCGATTTATATTTGAATAATTTTTTACGGTATTCAATTTCCTTAATTAATTTAATTGGAGGGAAAAAATATATGAGAGTAGACACTTTCACTTAAATCACCCAAATCGGTTTGCTAACCAAATGCCCATTCTATTTTTATCATTTTGAAATACATTAACATTACAAAAAATAAATGTGTACCTTGTAATTATTCATGCTACAATATATTATAGTCTGTATTTTTTGTAGGCTTCTTAATTTTATTTTGTATGAAAATTAGCGACACGTACGATATTGTGTAATCAATAGCGAACTTATATATACAAGGCGACTATTGAAAATTTGTTGTGAACTACATCACTTATTTTGTACACAAAATTATAGCATCATGTACAAATCTAATTATATAAATATTTTATTATTTCTGACACAATATTTATGTATAACAGATATTTGACAATGAAACCAAAAATATAAATATATTCGTACATGTAGAAGTAGGAGAAACTCAAACAATTTGTCTGGCACGCGTTCATATTACAATCTTATCAACACTTCAAATTACATTGAATTATTAAAATATCTACATATACAAAAATGTTTTTTCTTTTAAGACTTTTTGGCCAATACCAATAAAAAAAAATTTGTTATGCCTTTTCTCTTCTAATATTGACAAATTGCCAATTGAATTAAAAATAAAGAAATGATTTATGGTAATAGACGTTGTGACATAAATTTTGAAATTTCATAAATTTTTATTGAAAACTTGTTTTTCTTGGCCATTTTATAAACTTAAATTTTGTTGGGAAAAATTTTCAAAAATAAAAAAAGTGTTATATAATAAACAATGAAATTTTTTTATGTTACTTACAATAAAAAAAATAATTAGAAAAGTTTAAAACTAAATTTTTTATTACTTATAATTTCCTTTTTAGCACTTTTCCAAAAAATCTTTTGAAAAAAAGTGCTTATTAGTTTCACTCTGACCGTCCGTCCGTCCGTCCGTCCGTCTGTCCGTGTGTCTGTTTACAAAACTTCTACACCCTTGAAGATAGAAAGCTGAAATTTTGTACGTACATAGATTTTTACTAGAAACTTATTTTCGTAGAACAAAATTTTTATCTATCTCCCCCCCCTTTAGAATTTATACCCCCCCAAAACCCTAAAAATGCCATTCTTTAACTATTTAGTGCAATGAAACCATAAGGATTTTTCAAATTTTGCAAACGCAGAAAGGAGTGGCTTGCTTCCCCTAGCGGGGTATACTAAAGGTTAACTTTAGAAAAATGGCTGGTCAAATTTACTGTTATCTAAAGTCCGTTTTTTTCAAATTTTTGATGTCGTTTATTTTCTAGACCCCAACCTGTAGATGCTTGAAATTCTATGGACTTTTTAGACATTAATAAATAGTTCATTTCGTTGGAAGAAAATTTTTTTCCATCTCCTTCCCCTCTCAAGTAATTGCCTCTTGAAATTTGTAAAATTTGAATTTTTGACACTTTATATTTCCGAAACCGCGAGCTTTTTCAAATTTCTATAAACACAAAAAGCTAACGGTAAATTCCATGACATTAAAAAATATAATTATTTTTCTTAACTCACATAATTAAACCTTAAAATCGAGCATTATGTTAACGATTGCATATATTTAGTTAACCTAAATATATGCAATCCTAGAAAGAGTTTTGTATATGAATGAAAATAATTTTTAGAACGTGTGATAGGTATACATAGACTGTATTTAAAAGCAGAATTTTCACTTGCTGAAGGGAAAAGTGCTACAATACAAACCACTGGT